TGGGGTATGTGTGCTCTTACATTTGGAGGCCCAAGGCTGACACAGGGAATCTCCTTCCATCTCTCTCTGTCTTGGTCACTGAGGCAGGGTCTCTCAAATGAACCCAGAGCTCATCAGTATTGCTAATGTGAATAGCCAGCTCACTCTGAGGATTTCCAGTCTTGAAACACAGGAATTACAGATGGACCTCCACAGCCGCCCGGCATTTATGGGTTCTGGGACTCTAGACTCCCATCCTCACACTTGTGTGGGAAACACTTTGTATACTGAGTCATCTCCCCATCCCAAATCAGTCCTCCAAGGTTCTTTGCTGCTTTTCTCTACTTTTTAACCCTTTGCCTCCCTCTGGTGCTCTCTGGGTAATTGCCTTACTACTATTTAACGAGCATTTATCCTGCTGAGCTATCACCTCAGTCCTTATTTATGTTTAACATTTCTTTCTAAGATGGGATATTGATTATGTTGTTCAGGCTGGTCTCCAACGCCTAGCTCTAGGGACCACCCCCCATCTTCCCTAGAGCTGCATTACAGGTGTGTGCCTGCCTGTCTGGCTTACTTTGCATCATCTTAACCAAAAGGCCAATTATGCATTTAAAGTTTTGTGTCCTTCTGAATGAGAGGAAACATTATTGAATTTCTATGAACCCAAATTCATTCATCTGAAAAAAGTTTCTTAAAGCCTTTTAATTCTAAATATACATTTACCCTATAACCTATGACTGTATCCATGTTCACTTGGCTAATTTGGGGCTTAGGAAACCATAAATGAAGCTCTTAATTGGTCTAAATAATACAAACCTAGAGTCAGATATAGTGGAAAATGCTGAGAGATCAGAGAAAAGGAGCAAGGCAAAACCACCTTTACCTCATGTGCTTCCCATCAGAGAAGAGAGTGTGTTCCTATTTCTTCCAGCTTATATCCTCTCTCCACCCAGCCATCTTACTTCCTGTTTGTCTGTACAGACCTCCAGAACTCTATGGTTCGATAGTGGCAAGCTCCTCCTCTGATCTCCAGACAGGCTTTATTTGTACAAGCAAGATGTCACTACAGGAGACTTTGAACCTCTACTTTCTGGCTCAAAAGTTGTTTCTGTCATACTTATCAGAGAATCAAGACAGCTAATCCTTGGCATGGCATACACACCCTTTGTCGATAGCTAGGGAGATTTCTCTAATCTTCACTGGAGGCAGAGCTGGCTCATATGTCGTACGTACTCTGAAATTCCATACATAAAACCAGATAAGATTCTGAGAGTCCAACCCCTCTGATATGGGAGTTGCATCTTACACAAAGAGCAAAGGGTAGAAATTGAGAAAGAAGTGTTTGTCGTGGTGGTATTGACCTCAGGGAGCAATAATCAGATAAACCTGTGCCTGCCCTATACCCAGAAGAGGTGACTGCCATGGGGTGGTTCTTGTAGCATAAAAACAATGACCACATGATCAAGTAAGAAGAGCTTAGCTAGTTAAAAAAAGAAAAAAGAAAAAAGAAAAGAAAAGAAAAGAAACCTGTTGCTTTTTCTTAATAATTAAACCAGCTGAATAAATAAAATCCACAAAACAGGAAGCTTTTAGGGGAGTGATGAGTTGTGTTGGTTTTTTTTCCCCCAGCTAATTAAAGAACTCAGACTTCTGCAATGACATGCTAAGAGTCAGTGCACGGAGTTGCTTAGAACACTAGCCATGAGCAATAGGGAGGGTATGGGTCCCCTGTGTCCCCTGCAGCAAACGAGGGGTGTGACTTGAGGAGCCAGTCTCCCTGTCTCCCTCATGTTTGCATCTCATCTTCTCATTCTCTTCTAGAAAACGAAGGAAGTTCCAAAGAGAGAAGAACAAACACAGACAAAACCCTTGAATCATGAGATCTGGATTTTTTTTTTTTCTCCTTGAATTCTAGTCCTTTGTGCTTGAACACAAAAGATCATGATTGATTGAATTGGTGCAATTTCAAACTCCAAATAACAGCACACCTGCTGTAATAATCCGATTTAAGTTTTAAAGCTTGACAGGGGTGGTTGAGTAGGAATTTAAAGGAACAGCTCAAGGTTTGGGCTCTTGCACGACCAAAAAGCCCTCTAGCAAGTTGGCCCTCAACTGGCACCTATGCTGGTACAACTGGTAATCTGGGTTGGTAAGTAAAGGGATGTCTGGTGGGCTCCGTCTGTCTGTGGCCAGGCCACCGCCTGGCTATGGGCACGGAGTGGATTGTTATCAATCTGGATAATTCTGTGCTGTAAGCATTCCTGCTTCTCATGAGGGCGGCCAAACATTTCCCACAGCAGAGGAGCACAGGTGGCTGGCTACCTGACTCCCAAGTGTTTTGTGCAAACTAGTTGGTTTTATTTTCCCTAGTTGGTATCAGCTGCTAATCCCCACCCCTCTCCTCATCTCCCCCCACCTCCCATCCCTTCATCTTCTGCCAAACAACAGGAAAATAGGGCTTTATAAAGACTCAGCTGAGGGATAGTGGCTTGGGTCAATAGAATCACTGCTCTGACTCAGCTCTGAGGAATGGGGAAAAGGACAAAGGACACCTCCCTTCTGCTAGCTATCTGCACACAACGTGCGCACACACAGACACACACACACACACACACACACACACACACACACACAC